GGGGGGGGCCTCCCAGACCCACAGGCAAGCTGGGGTTCCCATGGCAACTTCTGCCAGGCAGGGCAGCTTCACCTGCCTTCCAGACAGGGGATTAAGCTTGATCCATCTGGGCCGGGTACTGACAGGCTCCTGGGCTTCCAAAACCCCCTTTCAGTCCTGGCTGGCTTACAGCGCAAATGGTCTGAGGCAATCTTTCTTTCCCTGCTCGCCTCCTGCCTTCAAACACAGGAGCTTCTCAGCGAGAGGCACGCCAGGTGCCTCAGATCTTTCCCTCCCAAATGAAGGGAGATATTATTTAATGACGATGGTAATGCCAGATTGAAGAGACGTCGCAAGCTAGACCTGCCAGCAGAATGAGCAGGAACGAGCTGAAACATTAAGTCTCCGAGAACAAGAGCATTTTAGTCGCGCTCACACTGAAAGAACTCTCCTGCCCTCGGTGTGGTGAACTGAGTGAGGAGGGAGACAGGACGGGTAATAATGAAACTGTAAGGTGGGGGTGGGGGTGTAACAAGCTGCCCAGGCCTGATCCCAGGATCTGACAGAGGATCACGGTACTGGATAAGGGACAGTTGCCGGTAATCACAGCACCCCTCCTGACAACATGACAGCAGCCTGTCTCAGGGCCCGGCAGGGAGTCGAGAAACCCGGCTTTCAACTCCTCCGTCACGGCAAGGCACCTGTGGGAACCCACAGTCCAGCCCGCGCGCCGCATACAGCACTTATCAATTTTTACACAGGAACAGCTTACGTCTGGTGAACTTGGTTTGTTTTACTCTTGGGGAGGAAGGGGTTTTCTCTGGCAATAACTCGGACAAAGCCTCCATCTTTCAGCACCTTCCTGAGGGAAGCCTGCGCCACATCCTCCTTGGTAAGATATCTGAAGGAAAAAACACGACAGCAAGAAACGATGCATCGAAGGGAAAAACGATAGACCTGCAGTACATCATTTTCACCCTGTTACACGCACACAGAAAAAGAACTTGACTCTTCGAGGAGCGCGCAGCGCAGTGAGAGCACGAGAGGAGGGACATGAAAGGTGTGTCACACACTGATAACGTCGCAAAGCGCGAGTCTGCGGGCGGCACTGGAGAAGTGCAAATTGATTCTGGAAAACTCTCCAAAAGTTGCCTGCATGGAGCTTTGTGCGATCCCCCCAGAGACAGAACAAAAGACGACGGTCTAATATTAGATTTTCACCTGTTAATTTAGTTGTGTCCCTCCTCCCCCTTTCCTTTTCTCACCGTACCTGTCCGCTCCACCCCCGTGTGGCGCAACAGGACTGGTTACAGCTGGCGGAAACCCACGAGCCAACTCCGGTTCAAAACCCCGATCCCTGCTCTCTTTAACTCCTCGCTTGAGCGCAAGGACTCCTGGAGCTGGGAGGCTCCTTCCCCGAGCAGAGCTCCTTGCCTTTTGGTGCTGCTGTGCCTCCGCTGGCCGCCCGCGATGTCGTCCAGGGCCGCGCGCGGGTCGAGAAACACGCGGCCGCTCCTCCGGATCGCCCTCTGCTTCATGGCCGTCAGGGCGCTCCAGGCCCGCACAAACCGCAGCACCTGGCAGAGCGAGCGAGCGACCGGCTGTGAGCGCCCCCAGAGCACGCCCCCTCTCCTGCATACCCTTCATAGCAAGGCTTGAGGTCTGCAACTCTCTCCTCTATGGGCTCTGTAACTCGTAACTACAAGATCTTTATGATTTCTTATCTATTGCACATCTCCAGTCATTGTTTACACGTCTGTATTGTTTACATTCAAACTGTCTACATGTTAACTTGCACATTGTCTATTGTTTGTTTGTACATTGTCTTGATGCACTGTTTGCACTTTTTTGTTTTTTACACTTCTTTTTTACACTTGTTTTACAATTGAGAGACTTTCTGTAAGTAAGAATTCCATTGTACCAGTACCGGTTACATATGGCGATAAAGTTCAAGTTCAAGTTCATCTTGTTACTGATTTTCAAGGCTCTAAACACTCTGGCTCCATCATACATCTCTGAACTCCTCCATGTCAACACTCCTGCTTGTGGGCTCCGGTCAGTTGAGGCTGGTCCTCTGCTCACTGCACACAGGACTAAATCACGGACTTGCGGTGACCATGCCTTCTCTGTCTCCAGTGACCTTCCTCAGACTTCACAAGAGAACTGGTCAACTCTCTTCAAATCTAAACTCAAATGTTACCTTTTTACCAAGGTCTACGTCCGATTGCCTGCATCTGTAAAAACCTGTACGCTCTTGTTTTTTTCATTTACTTTATATTGTACTTTTTTGTCTTTTTGTTTATTCACATTGTACAAAGTCCTTGGGTTTGTCCTGCGTTTTATAAAACACAGGTGGGACACGTGTCCCCTGACAGCATCAGACCCATTGAAACTGCAAAGATCGTCTTACTTGCTGACGGTTCTCGGGATGCTGGAACATCTCTGGCAAATCTTCCCAGTTCTCTAATTTTATGTCCAGCGGGATGAAATTGCAGTTCAAAGGAACGCCATCCTAAAATGCAAAGCAGACATGAATGTAAGATACTGTAGACTTTGTCTTCGTCTACTTAGACTTTTAAAAATGTCCCAAATGTGACTGAAAACGCACATACGGTAGATGTCCTTTAAAAAGATGCAAGGTCTGTGTTCTGAGAAAAATTAAAAATAAATGTACATCAGTTCTCATTCAGATCGCCCTTGGTTTGCAGGAAATTTCCTCAACCTTGTAGCACAATCACTACTGGTAAATGCATTTTGAAATTTATACACATTCTTTAATAAGACTAAATTATCATCTCACCCATGTGAGACTTCGACCAAACGGTCCCAGGAATTGACTGAGACCAACAAATACATTTATTCATTGTTTCAGCTTCTAGCAAGCGTAATGGAGCCGAATGAGCTGCTGATACTGTAATCTCATCTTTGTGGCGCAGCAAAAGAAATATGCAACTTCATAAATATATTTTATTGATTATAAAAGGCAAAATATTACCTTTCTGAATGCTTACATTTGAATTCAACTGGATCACAATAATCTTTCATAGAAATCTTGTACATTTACAATTGTCATTCAGAAAATCCTTTATGGAACACATTTTCCTGCTTAAAGAACAGGACATTAACAATTATTTGAATTATTGAATGATTTAATTCAAACTTTAATTTCTTCAGTCCATTGCATTTTCAAAAGTGTCAATCATTGCAGGTTTTCTGTTTCCATGGGCTTCCTACATTTACAAACTAAATCCCGATCTATCGAGCTCAGAGTCCTTAATTTAATGTGAGCTTCAATTTGGGTCTATTAATAAAGGTTGCTTATACAGCTTAGATGGCTCTTATTAAACAATCGGTAGGCATGCCTTTTGAAAAAATGACATGAGTTTCTCAGTTAAAATATACTGTGCATTTGTTTGCTCTATTTTATAACTCCATTCTGCTGATGCTGTTAAAAAAAGTATTACTCAAACCAAAAAGTGTGTAATGTTTAGAATAAAACTTGGATATAATCAGGCTAACCAGAAAATGTTCATATACAGTACATATCGTTGCTAAAATGACCCTTCCTTATCTCCTGGGAGCCGAGCCGGTACAATCCAGCTGTATTTATAAATATCCTTAGCTGCCTCCTTTTTTGCCTTGCAGTGCGGAATAATACTAGGTTTGTCCCTTTTTGAGGCTTGGACTTCAGGCACAGAGAATTGATCACTATAAAATACCAGCCTTTCAGCTTGAGCTGTTTCTCTTAATGTGGTAGTTTCAACCTCCTCTCCGAGCACTTAAAAATTCCCAATCAGTTTCCACCTGCTAAATGTACTAACATACCTATGATTAAAACTGGCAAAATAAATATATTCAGAAAACGCATTAGATTGAATAATCTTCCTTTTGTTCTACTGTAACAGGGCATTTCAGAAAATAAGTGGAGAGACATCTCTCTCTCAATTTGAATAAATAATGCGAGCCTGTGGTAGTTTTAGAATAAACCCACTTAAAACAGAAAAAACAGCTGATGATTGCAAATTATCACTTTAAATAGAAGAGCTCTCATCCCCGTGGCAAACTGAGGGTACAGCTGACAGGAATGGAGAAGAGGTTCTCTAAAAACAGCCAGCTTGGAAAGGTGAGGGTTTTGTCACTACAATTTCTGCAGTTTGGAAAAGATTCATGTTAAAAAAACCTAAAAAAAAACTGCTTGATTGGATCTGGTCTTCACTGCCGTCCATGGGCAGAATCAGGTATGCAAATGACAGTCCAGCAAATGTTCCTTATTTCACAGGTCCTCATCATCAGCACTAGTCCCCTAAAAGACCTCTTATGAGACACAAATGCTTCATCTGTTCTGGCTGCACAAGTGCACAAGTTCAGGTGTTTTAAAAAAGGACAGTCCCAAGCAGGCAGGCACGACGATGACAGGGGAAACTGATTTGGATTCATCCATCAGTGTCTAAATATCCATCGTGTTTGTTTTTGGTTGATGTTACTTGAGCGGCTTTCTGTAACATGCAACTCATTTTTAACCAATGCATTTCTGAACCTGGGTGTCTCAAAGAACACACATTAGCCCTGGACTCCAAACGGTTAAATCCAAACAACACAATCTGAAGTTTGCCAGTGGGCTCACATATAAATCACTACAGAGTGAAACCAGAACAGGGCAAGTCAGTCATCTCATGTTCTATATAAAACCCTGCAAACCCATGTCTTCAATTTGAGAGTAATGTACAGCTCTGGAAAGTGGAACTTTTCATTTGTACCTTGCTGTAGAGGTAAATCCTGTCAGTGTTTCTGCTCGCACAAAACTTCAGGCCTTCCTGAACAGGAATGGTGGAGTCAGCAGAACCGCACTCTGTCTCTGTCAAACCAGAAATGAAAAAACTCACAATAAGATAATTACTACCTGTGCCGGTGAAGTTTCTTATATACTGTAAAGTGCTTTAAGAAAATGATGATGGTAGAAAATAATATCAGAGGTATCACACTTTTACAGCTTAATAATGTAGCAGTGCTTAAGGCCCATCCATTATGATAGCTGCAGTAAGTTAGCTTAATGCAGGAAAAAAAAAACAGAAACAGTTTTTAAGTTTTTAAAGGTTATTTCGTGTACGCACATTATACAAATGTAAATGTAGAACACATCCAATGTGATACTGAATATAGCACTTGCAGTAATTTAGAAGATTTTGTCCAATAGGTCATTAATCTTCATCAAATGAGCAGCAAAACTGGAGACATGTTCCCAAAGTGTCACTCTGCTGTCAGGCTCATCTAGATGTAGAGTCATTACATCACAAAGCACTCCCCTGAGGCCACTTCTATCAGCTAACTGCTATGTTTTACATTAAACCACCAGCCCCTGGAGAAGGAGACAAACCCAGGCCTTAAAACAGGTAATTCGCACATCATAAAAACCGCGTGACTGCTACTAAATGCCATTTGCACCAGTTTGAAAAGATTTTGAAGTTACAAAACTCTAAGTGAGCAAATTACATGGGAGGTCAGAAGATCTTTAATTGAAAACACTCCACGTTCAGACTACTTTTTTTTTTGCTTGTTCAATATGCTCATGGTGGTATTTTTCTGTTTTTAATGTGCTATCTCCTACTGTCACCTTCTCATTTAAAATCGGAGGAAATCCGAAAGCCCCAGTCGATCAGCATAATGCCTGATGTCCTGTCGGGTGTCACGCTGGGAGATCGCAGGTTCAGAACACCTCCACATGTTCTCTTCTACTCCCTGTCTCTATTTGTGTTTGTGGCTTCCCTGGCACGAAGATGTTTTTCCTTTATGATTCTGAAAAGGAGCGAAGCCTTGCTGGGCTAAAAGGGGCGTAATTCCTCTAACGAAAATCTGAAGAGCTACACATGACAGGAGGCCCTCCGGCCCACTCTACCCGCTGGGTAGGTCTCAAGAGGAGTCAGGTGATCTAGGGATCTCCCTCCAGCCGCCTGTGAACAGCGGCGATATCCTCAGTAACGGCAACCCCTGAATGCCAGAACGACAGTGCACTTCTTTCACTGAGAAAGTGGACGGCAGGGCTGCAATTCACTCTCATTAGAAAACAAAATGAAGTTCTATAAATAATCAAATCGGAGACATGGGAGCAAAGGGCATCTTCTCAAGCCTGTGGAGAGGGAAGGACACACGCGATTCCCCATGGATTCCGATTCCCACCCTTGTGGGATAACGCTGTCTTCCCTGAAGAGCCTGCGCCTTGCTCCTCCTCCCGCCTCCCGCTCTCCGTCCGGCACGCGTGCTGGCGATGAGGTGGCGGGTCAGCCCTGCCCTCGGTGTCCGAGCGTCTCTCCTCCGCCCCCTGCAGCTCCGAGAGGGGCTCCTGGCTGGGGCCTGGCAGTGGAGACACACACACACACACACACGATACATAACGCTTCATTTGAAAAAATTCAAACTTAAAAACCACCGGAAGAGTGCAAGGAAAACGGCTTTCCATTTTTTACGATTGTTTCCTTCAGAAGAGAAGCCGAAATGAAATGCAACTCACGACCAGAGCCGTCTAAAGAAAAACGTGCTTTTCTTTCATGTTGGGGGAAAAAGGCAACAGATCTGGCGATACGATGTCTCACATTTGTATTCTTTATGCTTGTGAGATGGGTACGCCACTGTACCTTACCTCAAAGACACAAGGCTCACCACCAGTCAGAGCTGAGGGTTGTGTGGGGGGCTGTTTTTTATTGAGCAGTTAAAGGGGAAAAATAACTTGTTTGCAATCCAAAACGTTAGTAGCCAAGGATTTTAGGTAGTGTGAAATTAGTGACTTCATTTCACATTATATGTGTTAGGAAGAGTCTAGGACAATCATGAATTTGCTACTATGCATTTGATGAAGTCTATTGCAAAATACTGACAAAGCCCCTGCAGGTTCACATTAACACAGGTGTGCCTAATTATCCGGATGTTGTTCAATGCTTGTTCACACATTTGTATGCTGAGGACTCCTCTATCTTCAGAAGCCGTTTAGAGTATCATTGACCTGAATAATGACTTACATGCTTTAACAGTTTCCAATCTTACCTAAACCTCAAGAAATTTTCTTCAGATATCACAAAAAAAACAAACAAAAGATAAAAGAAATGCTCTTTGATACACTTCAGGGACTTTACTAATTGTCTTTTCCGCTCTGTTCGCTATTTTTTCTGGTCAGGTTTTTTTAAGATCTTCTGAAGTTGCATTTCAAATTCGTATTACACTGCCATGGCGGGTCTTTTGTATCATTATATCCTTTGAAATACTGCAGACACAAACATGAAATGTGACCAGATACACAAATAGACTTTTTACCAGATACCTCCTCACTCTCCAATAAAATCCAGTAAACTAGAGGCCCATGTTCATTAACAACTCCGAAGGGTGAGAAACAGGACGTCATGATTTCGGTCTTCAGCAGACAAGTTGCAATTAACCACGACAAGCTTCCTAAATCAGTACACTCTGGCACTGACCAGAAAAAACGCAGAAAATGGAAGAGAACTTTAGCCTGGGTAGTGTAACAAAACATCCATAAAGCAAAACCAAGGAGCTGATCGTTGATTTCAGGAAACTGCAAAAAGGTCATGCCCCTATCCACATCAACAGGACTGAAGTGGAAAGGGACAGTAACTTCAAATTCCTTGGTGTCCATATCACCGAGGACCTCACATGGTCTCTCAACGCCACCTGTCTGATCAAGAAAGCACAACAGCGCCTTTACCCCCGCACTATCAAACTATTAAACTCCCCGCCTCTCACCTACGATCTGAACCTCACAGCGCCTTCTTTCTAACCACAAACGCAAACACACATAGAAATCCACCTCTACCTCACATATCAAACAGCTCACTCCCCATAATTTTCTATCCTTTATTTCATTCTGTTGAGGTATTTTTTTGCACATCTGATGTTGTTTTGCACACTGCTTGTTGTCTCTTTCTTTTATTATACAATTGTATTGTTGTTTTTTTGTACTGCTTATCGTCTGAGAGCTAGCTAAATAGCATTTCGTTATACCATATACCTGTATACGAGTATAATGACGATTAACTTGAACTTGATAAAGTACAACGTGTATGACAACAGTCCAGCCTGAGCATCAGATCCAGAGACCTCAGGCTGCTTTCATTGTTATATCCTACAACTGCTCTCATGCCGGCAGCAGTTTTCTTTCCAGCTGAGCCGCCACAGGCTGGAAAAGGTTTCTGCAGTGAGGGACCACAGTATTGCAGCTGACACTCGATTCCCCACGCTCACTATTTCTTTCGCTTGCTGTTTTATTCTGCTACCGAGCTTTACATGTGTTTCAGTGTTAGGTTGTGCTGTCCCTGCATGTGCCTTCATCCTACCCCCTCCCCCAGAAAAAAAAAAAAACACACAGGAAAGGATGAAGGTTTTGTTCTGACTTTGATTAAACTCCATCCACTGCTTGGAACACTAGGTCACAGGATATTTAGTGCTGCGCTCAATCGAAACTTTAAGCCTTGAAGTCTGCCACTGCCTCTCTCTGAAACAGACTTACTGTCCCTGAGCTGGAGCCAAGCCCGTCAGGACCATAACCCATTTCTAGCATGGAGCACGCTGCCTCTTCCTTCCTCTGCCCCGACTCTGGGAATTCAGGGCTGCACACATTTGATGGTTCTTTAAACGGTCAGGGTCCTATAGTCGACCGATTAACATTAACCAAAGTGAAAACATCTCCAGCAGTCCTGCTTGAAGACATCAGTGCACACCGCACGATCGTACACTTGGAGGTACCTAGCTCTGCGCTTTAAATAACCCTTCAGGCAGACACACATCAAACAGTCAACAGCGTGTGAAATAACTGTGTGTACAGGGTTATTTGGAGAGATGAGAAAATGCTGCACATCAGAATTCATCCTGAGCAAAAATACAGCACTAATAAATTGCGGTGGAGGTGGATCCTGTAGGGATGGAAATGAATCTCCCACTCCGGCACTTTACACTCGAAGGTGGGTACCATGTGTTCTGCGTGGCTTCTAATTGCAATTCAACCCGTTTTGTTTTCCAGCGCTTTGCTATTAAAATCCAATTAACCTCCCCTCCTAGGGACACGTCTCCAGGAGCCTAGTAAACGTACCCGCGAGTAAAGGAGCCGGTTGAGGATCCCCGAAGGTCTTCTCACCGCGGGCGTGGGGGGGCCGCGGCGCCTCGCACATCTCGCAGTAGGGCAGGAGGGGGCTGTTGGCGAACGTGCAGCCGCTGCAGCGCCACTCCCCGCCACTAGAGGGCGCCTCCCCAGAGGCTGGGCGGTCCCCGTCGGATAGTCTCGGGGGTCTCGGGCAGGAAAGGGGGGTGCTCGCACCCCCGGCCCAGGACCTCCTGCCCGCCCCGCGGGTGGGGTGGCCCACAGCCCGGCTGGAGCCCCGCGGCCGCTTGGCGTGAGGCTGGCCGCTGGGCCGCGGGAGCACGGCGGCTTCCTTCCGCGCCACGCCCGCCGGGGACTCCTCCTCTTCCTCCGCCGGCCCCTCGGCTGCTGCTGCCTCCGCCAGGGGCTCCTCGTCCGAGCGTCGCCTCTTCTTCTCCAGGAAGAACGTGCGGATGTCTCGCTGCTTGTCCTTCTCAAACTGAAGGGAGAGACGGGCCTGCTGAGCCGGGCCGAGCCGGGCGTGAGCTTGAAGGCAGCTGTGCGTTTTACTGACGTTACAAACACTGGCGAGGTCAGACACTGTAACACCCACACTTGACCAAAACGACAAGCCAAAGACGACGTCCCGGAGGAAATGCAGCTCACCCGCAGAAAACATTCTATTCAACATTTCAAACACACAGTATTTCATCACATTATTGACAAGTGATCTAGAGCTCATGCAGCACCAACTTGAAGAGATCTGCAGCCCTGAACAGTGAAGGGTTCTGGAGGGTCTGTGACACTGCAGGGCTCATTTTAATAATAATTAATGATAATTGCTTACACTTATATAGAGCGTTTCTGGACACTCTACTCCAAGCGCTTTACAGGTAATGGGGACTCCCCTCCACCACCACCAGTGTGCAGCCCCACCTGGATGATGCGACGGCAGCCATAGTGCGCCAGAACGCTCACCACACATCAACTCTCAGTGGGGAGGAAAACAGAGTGATGAAGCCAATCCATAGATGGGGATTATTAGGAGGCCATGATTGGTAAGGGCCCATGGGAAATTTGGCCAGGACGCCGGGGTTACACCACTACACCCCTATTTTCCTGACACGGCTTGTGTGCCCTCGTTCTCTAAGAGGGCAGCGTCATAGAACTGAGTGATCTTCTTCACCCCATGTTGCAGCATTTCTCTCCTGCCTGGAGGGGTGTCTTCCAGGCTGCCAGAGCCCCCCCGTCCACAGAGCACATGTGGTCACTCAGTGGTGTGAAGAGCCCCACACTGCTCAATCATTTAAGAGATATTCTGGACCACCTGAGACAGCATGTTCCCCCTGCACCAGCCAGCTGATTGACTTGCTCCTGGAGGAGCGGTGCCGCGGCCCTCCTGCAGATCTGCAGGCGCTGCCAGACTCTGATGCCACAGCGTGTAGCGCTGCACACGAGGCAGCCCAGATCCCCACCCAGGCATGTGACAACGGCACTTCCAGTTTTTTTGTCCACTACTTGTATGTTTAGATTTAATTTGGGAAAGATGGTAACATTTTGAAGAATAGTTTATTGCAATTTTTTTAAGATGAAACTACGTTTTTTTAAGCAATTCGGCGGCACACCGGTGAATGTTTATTTAATTCTTATGTTGGAAATGACAGAGAATGTCAGAATCTGCATTTTCATTAAATTACGGACAGTGCACTGGGAAATAAACAAATCACAGAAATGCCTCTCCCTTGTGATGATGTCTCTACCTTTTTTCTCATGTAATTCTCTGTGATTTTTTGCAGCTCATTTAAAAATAAAATCCATCTGCAGGATTATTACAAACACAACTTCACAGCACAGAAACAGGACCAAACTATAGCCGGGTTTCAAAGAACCAGGTGTGAAGTGTTTCCATGGAGCAAGTTTCATGAATTAAACGAGTTAAAACTCACGTGAGAGAAGAATACTTCATCCTGGCTGCCTGGCGCATCTCCTTGAAAACTATCGCCCGGTGTCCAGGCACTGGCAAAACTCAAGAACTCCCACTTCTCTCGGTCTCCAAGCTCTGCCTTCAGATGCTCCTTTTTCCCATTTAAGGTGCTGCCTGTCACCCCCTCCTGAACAACAAATTGGGCAAAAGGTTGCTAAGCTTCAAACAGGAACATTTTTAAACCACCTGAGTCTAGGGCTGGGCTATTATTTTCTATAACTCACAATCTAATCGCTGATTTCAAATCTGCATTATAAGGCCCAGTCACCTGTTTGTGCCCACACTGTGACACGGCTGTGGTACAGTATAAGTTCGTGGTCTCATTAATTGAGAAATACCACCAACACAGAGACAGAATTTAACAGGACCGCACTGTGTCATTTCCACACCTTCCTACTGCATAATGTTTTAAGATTTAACACAGGTGTGACCAATGTCAGGCAAGCAAAACATGCAGACGTGTCAGACGCCAAACCGGAATATTAAACAATGAGACTCAGGAAGCGAAATCGAGAATAAAGAGGCATGCGTCGGTCTTCAGCGTACCTCTGACAAGGTAGCTGATGTGTAAAGCAAGGCAAGAATCCTCTTGCTGTATCAATACGCTGTGGTTGCCTGTGCTGACACACAGGAGTTCTCACAAGAAGACAGAACATGAGCTTACTTTCTCCCTGGAGAGCAGCTCAGTGTTGTGTGCGGATCTAGCTAATGGCCTCCGGATCAAAAAGAAAACCTTCCTATCTATACATGCCATGTGGGAGCAGCCTGGAGCTGTGGGTGCTGAAAGACTGCGAGTTCAAGGCCCAGGTGGGGCCACGCTGGTGGCACAGATCCTTCGCCCACACTACTGCAGTCAAAGGCCCTGACAGATCAATGTACAAGCACGAGTCCCTGCCAAAGTAAATACACAGGAACAATACAATGTGCATGAAACTGGCAGACAAACAGGCCCGTCTTATGTTTGCCCAAGGAAGTAAGATACAGTAAGAGAGAGGGATCTGCTTTCACTGCAGGTCTCCCCTGACTCCACCTGCCTTACGGTTGAGCATGCCCCACATGACTGTGTCAAACGTGCCCTTGGCGATCAGGTAATGCACATGCACACAGCAGCTCTGGCCAATGCGGTGAGCTCGGTCCTCTGCTTGCTTGATGTGGCCGGGATCCCAGTACAGCTCGGCGAACACCACATGGGTGGCAGCAGTGAACGTCAAACCCTGCCAAGAAATAACGAACATCAACAAAACCCAGCGTTACAGATTTTTTTTTTTAAACAAACAGTTTCACCGGGTGCATAATCATTTTCTGTGAAAACAATGCATCACTGGCAGAAACATGGACAAAGAGAAAAGATTGTTGTTTTGTCCTCTGTATGCACAATAAATGAGGGCCAAAGACTACCAACATACAGTACGACTTATTAAAAATGAATATGCAGTTCTCCGAACGACTGAAGTCCTTTCAAACGTCTGACTTCAAGGACGCAACTTTGCGTTGAACTGGTTGGTGAAGTATTCCATCACAGCATAAAGCCAACATCCCGGAATACTCCTTCTGATGGAAAGCGCGCCTGTGATACAGCCGCTCCTCCTCCCTAGGCATTCTTCCCACGCAAACATCCTAAAGGCTAACGCCAGTCGGACTCGGGTGAATGCAGCTGGAAGGGAAGACTCTGAAACACCACACCTGCCCGGCAGCTTGGATGCTCAAGACGGCGACTCGGGTGTCGGGGTCGCTCTGGAACTGGTGCACCAGGTGGATCCTTTCTGAAGACGGCACGCTTCCGTCAATGCGAATGTAGCGGGCCTGGGGGGGGAGCAGAGTGTCAGCTGGGAAAACGCGGCAAACTGCGAAGGGTCGGCACCGAGAAAACCGTGAAAATGTTTTTCCATAAGTAGCCTCTTCTAGCTCAGCGTTTTCCGTTTATCTATATTAAATGTCACCTGCCAGGTATTTGCTAGTCCGGAATTTTATCTAAATCTTTTTTAACTTCATTTTCTCTTTGTACAGAGATTGTTATGATCTGCACAGCTGACAGATCCACTATCTATGCCAGAATCAAGATCACCGATATAAATTAAGAACAGCAGTGGTCCTAGTACAGATCCCTGTGGTACTCCAGTAATTACAAACTGTATAACAAGGGGAGAACCATCTAACTGGGCTGACTTAATTGATGGAGTCTTACAAGGATCTCTATTAGGAACACTGCTGTCTTTTATCAGTCGTATTTGTCCACATAAATCATATAAAAGGATGTTGCTATTCAGGAAAAAGTAAAAGAAAAGTTTGAAAAGCAAAACGAAAGGCACAGACAACTTAAGGAGCTGACTCAGAGGGGCTGAACAGGACATCCCTGTGGACTGCTTCATGCTATACAATGAGTAGACAGCACAAACAGTATAAGGACTTAAATTAGGAGGCACAGTTTCACATAAACTGCCACGGATTCAATGATAAACTACCTAACTATGCTACCAAGGCAGATTAATTAGGGTCCTAAAAGACATGGTACATGATAATAGAAATAATATTCAAATTTGCAAGAGGCAAGAGAGACTGAATGCTGCTCTCTCATTTGGAACTTTCCTCTCATGTTCTTTGGCTCAGCCTCCTACACATCCACACAAAGATAAAATTCAAATAGGAACACCCAATTACAGGGTTTATTTAGAATGCTGCACGGTGTATCAACATTTATAATTATTACAACAATCACATATTCAAATTAATTAAGTTACTGGATAACGAGGATTGCTTTCAGGAGCGCTAGATGAGACATATAACCTTGATTCTCTGATAGGAATTTTACTGTGATATTAAAGTTATTTGCTTTTTCAATCCTAATGCAATTAAGACATATCTGACTGTCTGGAGTGTGCAGGAACTCTATTTTTAGCCCTCTTCTGTTAATTGGAAATTATAAATCTGAGAGTCTGACAATGTTCACACAGGGAGGTGAGATCACGTAGATTTCAGCAGTGGGTTTTTTTTTCACACATCCTTGGCATTCTATTAACAGTGTGTTGAGAGGATGGCTTTTCCTTGGTTGTGAAACCGGCTAAAAAAAAAAAAAAAAAAAACTCTCGAGCAAAGTCAGTGCGCGCTCGTGATTGTTCTGAAAGAAAACTTTCTTTTAAAAGCAGCGCTGCTGGAGACTTTATGCGACCCAGCCGAAATCCTCTGGGTCCTGCTGGAGAGTCACCAGCTACATTAGTCACAGCGAGACTGCTCCAGGACTCCTCCAGGTACGTGTGCAGCACATGGACGCAGGAAGGACAGGTACTGCAGCTCACTTCCTTCTACCCAGTTTTGCAACAGAAAAAGTTAGAACAATAACACCTCTGAGCACGCAAGCCAGCATGCAGCATGATTACGCAACAACTATTACTTCTTTTGAAACCTAGGTGACCCTTAGCTCACAAAGGCCTCTGCTGCCACCTCTGAGCAGCAGGTGCAGCTCTCTTCTCGTCCTAACGTCCCCCGAGATTCATTTCTCTCGAGCTTCCCACTTTCCAGGATGGGTCAACGGACGGCCGGGAGCATGGAGAAGGAAGCACAGTCCGAGCAGGAACCAGCAGGGCACTCTGCGTATCTGGGGACAGGGGAGGAGCCCGGGGCCTGAGGGGCGCCCAGCCATCGGAGCGCAGGGGCTGTTTCTCTCGTGCTGCGGGGACCCCAGGGGCTCCAGCCAGCATGGAAACGGGGTGCCCTGCAGCACCTCGAATCTGTTTGAGCTGGTCCCCCCACAGACGTTCTGCTCCGAGCCAAGAAGGAAAGAACTGGAAGGGCGTCATGTACAGACACAAAAAAGAACGACGCCACAATGCCTTTTTTTAAAATCTTCATCTCTCCCGCTGCAATTCAGTGAGAAACCCTTATTTTGACATGATCATGTCAGATGACTTAAGGGCAACAGCTAGCAGAGAGAGCTGTGCATACTACAGGTGCTTAACTACAAAAACAGATGTTTCAGCACATACTCCTTCCTATATATAACCAAAGACTAATAAGGCTAGTTTCTGCTGCAGGAACACTTGGGGGGATATACTTTCTACAAGACTGTATGAAACACTTACTTGTCACAGCATTTTCAGGCACGGCTAACAAAGAACTAAAAATGATCGTGCTACATTTAGGATGTCGTCAACGGACATTTCACGACATACAGAAAAAAAACACAGACGTTGTCGCACAGAAAAATCTCATTCCCTAATCAGCAGCGAGCAGCGCGCATTACCAGCGCGGTGGCAGTAATTACAGGTGGTGCTTCAGCAAGGGGGTACCTTGGCTTCAATGACAGCCTCTGTACACGCCTGAAGCATGGCGAGATGATGAGCAAACACTAGAAACTTCAGCTTCTCGTTCTCCAGCATCATTTTGATGTAGTCTTTCACTGCACCCGCCTGAAAGAGAAGCAGAAACCACATGTTGAGGAAAACCAGTCCTCGCTGATTGAAACGCGCAGCAAATGTTTTTTCTCTAGGGCACAGCTGGACTTTGCCAGGTGACTGAACGCACAACTGGGATCCGATGGTAGAATACTGCCATGCAGAAAGTTTACTGCTGGGAATCTGTCACAGTGAACCCCTTCCCTCCTGAGTCCTGACCCCAGGGTGTGTAAACATGCAGGAATCGCCTTGCGTGAAACTTCCTTCCTGCTCTGCTTTTCAATACGCCTTTTTTTTTTTGCTCTCCTGGAAATGCATGCTTAAACAAACCTTTTCCTGACACTTCAAATTTTCAGTCTCTAACCCATGCTTATGAAAAACTGTCCGATTAACTCAACATACATCCAATATGACAGGATGCACAGAAAATTTTTTTTGGCTTGGATTCACTTAGTTCCACGGTGTAGTATATTTCACCTTGGTTGTGCTGGGAGCCTAATAACCTAATTTGTCTGGTTTCACTTAAAAAAGATCCTAACACTCCTACAAATACGGAGATGTCTGATCTTGAAACATCAGATTCAATGACAAGGCACAGAATCGTAATTTGTACTGGACGTTCTGAGCTGTGGTCTTGCGCTGTCCTTCACCTGTCACACACACACACACCAGATGGGTTTGCTGGCTGTTGAGCAGAACTGCCCCCCGCCTGCCTGCTGGAGCCTGTCACTCTCCAGTAAAGGCACTGGAAGAGCCGGGTGCCCACAACTGCACAGCAGCCACACGACCCAGAAACCAAAGACATCCACCACTGCATCTCCACAGCTATGTGTCACAAGTCGGTTTGTTCACTCGCCTGAAAAACACTGAGACCATACCACAAAGTGCAACTAAAAAAAATAGCTGAAACCCTAATGAGGTTTATTACAGATGTATCCAGAGTTCTGATGCACTGAAGGATAGGGGGAAATAAAAGCAAGAGTTTTTTTATTCGATATGGAACAATTAGGGTTTTTTGCCTATTGAGTTCTCAAGTCATTAAAAATCTCTCCATCTGGGAGTAAAGTCAGAGAAAACTTGCACACGTTTTAAGAAAAGCCAGGAGAGAATAATGGCATGATTCAATGCTTCTTGGTCTATTTTTGTCAGTAAAGCTCTTACACTTTCCATTAGTAATTCTCCTGAATCACCTGGTGAACACTTCACATTCTGTCATTTGTAAAGGTACCTGCTGAGAACACCATCCTAGTGCCTGTCTATCAATTGCTACTCCTGGGATAGCTACAAACACTCAGTCAGCTTAACAATTTGTACTTTACAGTTTCCACTGCTGGCATGTGCAAAAGTTTTATACTTTTAATTAAAAGGCATCACTAAAAGGACAATGAAAAAAAGTATCGCCTAATCTTGCTCTTTAAAGCTCGGAGCCCAGAGTTCTTATTAATGTGATCGGCCTGTGCTTGTTTAATTAGTTCTTAAAGCTCACAATCTGTTCTCCCACCACAATAACCATCTTAAAAAAAGCACTGAAGTCTAGATAATTTCAGACAGATGTTTGCGGGTAAAAATAAATTCAGGCTTGTTTCAGTCCTGTAACTTGGCTTTCTCACATTAGAAGTGACACAAGACGAGAAAGTCTGCCGAGTGTTTGGTGTGTACCCGTCCAAGTCGATTTTTCGTCTTCCTGATTCTTGAGTTAAGAAACCAGGAAAAGAAAATGTTTGCATGTATTGTCACGGGTGATATTCACAGTGGAAAGCTAAAATAAAAAAATAAATAAAGGGATTAATGGGGAAAGGCAAACCACAGAGAAGCCCTGTCAACCCTAGGAAAAAATCAGCCTTCTGGTCCGGTGTTAAAACACACTTCCAGCATGACATCCCTCTTTGTGTTGAGCAAAGCCTGCCTAATAACAACGTTCCGGTTTATTGCTTGTCTTTGTTTTCAATCCATTTAAAAACAGCTAAAAGCTTCACAACCACCCTCTGCTGCAGAGAAAGATGCAAGTCTGAAAAAAAAAATCCAATAAACACAAACGTTTCTGAATCCGGCACACAGAGAGCAGGAATTTTTGCTCGTGTGAGTTTGATACTGCACGGGGGAGGAAAAGCACTTTACTTTTTTAAAAATGTCAAGCCAGCTGTCAAGTTCGTTTTCCTGTGTGCTGTTGTCTTAAAGTGGGAAAATCGTCTGAGTGCATATGGTTACTACGGAAACAATTTATTTTTCTAAATAATTAACACCATGATGTGCCCTTCAAGTGACAATAAGACGCGAGACACAACATGATTTAAATGACTAAAAAACTTCAGAAAACTAAGTTTAGCTGTGAACAGATTTGGCCGTGTACAGAATTGGCTACATCCATTCCAGTGTCATTTCCACTTTCTTTCTGTTGAATTTTCTATTTGTTTATCCCTAGGTCACCGGTCTCTCTTCATCCCGGTGGACACGGGCGTGGAGGTTATCAGAGAGGACCACGCAGCAGGAGACCCTGAAGTATTCTTGCCCCGCGACAAAAACAGAGTCTCGGTCACTCCGTTAGGTATTAGGAGCAAGAGAGGACAACAGCGAGGACAAAAGAGAACTCTGAAAACCTTGAGAAATTAGAAAAAAACACCTATGAGGCTGTACCTTTCGGTTATAGTGTTCATCAGCCTACTGTGCACTCGACTGCTACAGCCACAGTGCGCTACAATGTCACCAAGCAAAGAATTCCAGTCTCACGTCTCTGAGCTCATGAGGATTTTTTTTCCATGGCGTCTGAAAAGAACCCTCAAGGACCGGGATTCTTAGAGACTCGGCCGTGTTCGGATCTTACCAAAACAAGAAGCATCTGAAAAGGACATAAATTGAGGTAGTTGCTTTCTCTGCCTAGCAACAGCGTGCCGATCCTTTTTCATCCGTGATTCAGTCACGCAGGAATTGGTTCTTAATTGACTCATTTACATCTGCAGTAACTACCTGCAGACCCCTTTCTCCCAGCAGGTTTTTACTGGTGCGATCTGAAGGAAGTGCCTCGCTCACAGGTACGAGAGCAACAGGGCTTGAACCCTGGACCCTCCTCCACTACTCCACACCGCCAGCGTTAATTCGGCGAACACAGGAAGGGTGTCTCCCTCCAGGCCGAGTCAGAGGGGAGTGAGTGAGGACAGCAGCTGTCCTTCACACACCAGAGTGCGCCTTCACCTCCCCTCTCTGTCCCACAGGGCTGTGCGCGCCGAGGGCCTGTGGCTTGCTCTCCTCTCTCCGCTGACGGACGGAAGGAAGGGCTTCATGGCTGCCGATACCCGCTGATCCGGCCGCTCACAGCTGCCTGGCAGCGCTGAGGACACCTGGAGCTCAGGCTGAAAGTGACACGGTGGGACAGGTGCACTGTACCTTGGCGATGGCCGTCTGTTTGTACATGCGCGTAACGAGCCCCATGACTTCCACAAAGGGGTTATCAGTCCCTGCAGTCCCCGCATCCAGCGTCCTCATTAATTTCTCCCATTCCTCGAAGCTGGCACATGCTTCCTACGAGGGAGGGAAAAAAAAGATTTTTTTTTTCTTTTGAGCTATAAAGGGCAGAACAATTAATGGAACTGTGAATCGTGGCCTACTTTCCTTTTCTCGTAGAGAAAATCTGGAAAAAAAATGGAGAAAATTCCCAAAGATACCAGTCTGTTCCTACAATAAAACGTCAATGCAGGGTAGGTCAGTCACGTGGGTCTCCCAATTATAGAAAGCTTGTGACAACCTGGGGGCGAAGATGGAAACTCTCTGCACCAACATAATAAATCAAAGACAGATAGTTTGCTCTCAAGGTGAAACGTAAGTACTATTCAGGAAGTTAGAAAGTCAGGAATTACAGAGAAGGATTTAGAGCATGGAATACCGATGGAGGACAAAAACTCCCTATGAAGAAAAGCTAAAAGAGTAACAGTCTGAAGCCACAAACCCCCCAAAAAAACCCAATACAGACCTTCGCATTCAGACATTTAAACAAGATCAGCCCCCAATGCAGCCTATTCTATTCCAGCATTCGACGCAGAGCAAAGAGTTGGCGCGTTCGAGCCACACTTTACATCCCGAATCTGAACGGCTCGCGTTTCGGTGAAGTGGGACGCCGGAGATGCCCGGCTTGAGGAACTGCTGAAAAGCGAACGTGAGATTTCCAGCCGCTGGTGCCTCTGAGTGTGCAGGGGGGCGCGGTGAGGAGTAGCACAGGGGGGAATTATATCATTAGGACCCCACCAGATTACAGTGGAGCTCAAGTGTCATTTATCAAGCCAGAAGGGCTGAGCATTGTCTTTCAGGTGCTGGCAAATCAAGTGCAGATTTGGGAGGTGTGCAGTGCCTGCATTTTTCATACTGTCAAAGGATACGACACTTCTGTAGGTTCTAATTACTCTCAGCACACAGAACAATAGCCCAGTGACAACCTGGCTCCTGTGTGACAGCCTCAGCCTAAACTTCTGCTTCCATTTGATTGGAATAAATTCTATATTTAACAGCACATCTATTTAACATGCCCTTTTATTTTAGTTCCAAGGATGATTCTCGGAAAACCCTTGGTACAAGAGAGCGCAAAATCAATTAGCAGCAGTACGCTCCCAAAGCTAAATGTTGTTTGTTTTTTTTTAAATTCTGCATATGAAATTAGTAAGCTTATCTGCAATTCTAAGTAAACAGAGTAGATGTGGAGGATGAAAACAAAAAGCAAAAAAAAAAGTGAACCCTCCTAATCTGTGTAAGAATGCTGTCATGCATGAGAAATGCCACCACAAAAATCAGGAAATATGCATCTTCTCGTCTCATTGACGTTAAACTGGATTCAGATACTGTACTTCCTCCTCTAGTCATATTACATGAATGACTACCACCTTCATTCAATATCTCAAAAAGCCTTAAATGACAGGGAGGAAATTGTCTTATTTCAGGGCGTGCATATATTGCTTATATGTTATTCACTCAATGACCTTGGTATATACTGTAATACAAGTGAATGAGATTCAAGCAAGTAGAACAGTTTCGAAGGACGCTGCTGACTTTATGTGGCGAAAAACGAAATCCTTAGTGCGGGAAGGCAGAAACTGTGCTGAAATGATACAAAAACGAGCGTAACTCCGAGACGCCTGCGTGCCCACAGGGAGGAACGCTCGGAGAGTGAAATAACGAGGCCTGTATTCAACGACACAGCTCCTCACTTCCAGGGCAGAGGGGGGCCTCACGGCTCTCGGACAGACCCACCTTGGAGCCTTCTTTCGGGAGGTCGAAGGGGATGCGCTGGCGGATTTTGGGAGGGAGCTGCGTCAACACCTCGTCCTTCAGGCGGCGGATCATCACTTCGCTCAGGCGCTGGTGCAGCTCCCCCAGGCTGGAGGCCCCCCTGCAGTCCCACTGGCGCCTGTTTCCGAAAAACCTGCGGGGCACAGACCGGCGGTCACGCACTGCGCGGGGTGACCCCTCGCGCACAGCTGTCCCGCGTCCTCGGCCCGCGCGCTGCAGGGTCGGGACTTCAGGCCCGGCGGCCTCAGGGGCACAGCTCCGCCTTCGAAAGCAGCTGCGCTCGCTGCACAAAATCTGTCCGTTCTACTTTTTAAAACCTTTTTTTTTTTAATTTATGCTATGAGGATGCACTAAAAACACAAGCACTGGCTATTTGTTGCATTATTAATGCCTCTCGGGACAAACATTAAAAAAAAGACTTATTAAGGGCGAAAACCGATAAAAATTAGCAAGTATCTCTGTATTTATTACATAATACGTAATAATGCTAGAATCTACATTTCCCTAGCAATCAACCTCCCATCCTTTCCAAAATACACATATTGTAAATAACATCGCATAGAGGTCCAATAATAACACTGAAATTATGTGCATTCGTCTCTGTCCACCACAGTACGTGACTCACACGTACATTAAGGACAGTTCAAATCCAGAGGTATCGCAAAATGAGCTTTCTGAAATCCAATTACTTTTATGTCTGATTGGAGGTTTCCGTTTTACAGCTGCAATATGGGAAGAAGAGAAAGCAAACATTACACTCAGTAATCAATGATCCCATTCTCTAGGAAGGGATTTCTATGCACCTTGAAAACAGATAGTTCTTGCACATTGCCTGTTGTCTGACTTTCTTTCTTACACAATTCTACTGTTGTTTTTTTGTGCTACTTACCGTGCTAGCTAAATAGCATTTCATTATACCGTATACCTGTGTATCAGTATAACGACAATAAACTTGAACTTAAACCCCCAAAAGTTAGTCCCAAAAACCTCCATGCATTAAAGTTGCATTAAGAATTTTCCTATATTGATGTGATTCTAAGGAATAACACTTTAAAAAGCAAACCATTAAAAGGGGATTACCTGAAATGAGCATTGCAATATTTCGCAGCATAATCAGACCATGTTCCGAATCTCCTAGGATACAAGGCATCGATCTGCATAAAAAGCTGTGAAGACATTCAGGCAATTAAAGAATCATCCCTTTGTAATACAACAGATCTGATATTTTGCATTAGACGTAGTACGGGTTTCTAAAGAACAACTAAAATTGAATAATATAACTGTAATTGGTAGCAGTAAAAGAAGACAGGGTTTTCAAAATGCAATTATATTTGATAGCTTGACAATATCTGCAAATATCCCACAAACACACAAAAAGTGGCGAGAGGTGGTAGATCGTTCATTGAGTTAAGCAGCTTCTGAGGATCTGATCTGTGTTTCAGGAAAAAATATTGACTTTTTAAATTAAAAATGTATTCAATGATTACAACAAATACAGAATGTCATTTTGCTTTATTTAACACCTGTTCCAACTTATTTCATTTCTAGAAAATGTTCTCTGTAAGATTTTCTCTCTTTCCATTGTCATTTCATTAACTATATATTCACTATACGAGGCACATACACGGAGAGTGTTATAAAATACACTCTACAATTACATACTATAGTCTAAGGCTGCAAGCTATGTTTTAGCATTTATTCCACTTTTAATTCATGCAGAACAAAAAAAACTGTGAAAAACTAATCTTGTAGCTATAACATAATGGCAATATCAAATACATGCTGGAATGAGCTTGTGAACTCCTAGAGGCATGGGAATATTAATTTATTCTACTCTGAAATTGCACTGAATCTGTGAGAGAAAAAAAAATATATTGCTCTTGGTGCTGAACTTTCAACAGATCTGACAACAGCCATGTAGAGAGATTATGTGAAGAGGTACCCCTGTTTAACCCAAATCTCTGTATCGCCAGGATTCGCACAGAACACAGTGTAACTGGAACAAAGGAAGCATTTTTTTATCTATAAAATGGTTTAAAACAGAGGACGCAAGGCACTGGCAAATATATAAAATGCACTTTGCGAGTCAAAAACCCCAGATGAGATTGTCACTTTTATTTTAATTTTGCCAATATGCTCAGCAAAAGCACTTCCCTGTTTCAGATAGATTTCACCCTGGGTGAAGCCCTGGATTTAAAGTATGGCATAAATACGAGATAAGAGAATAACTCAATTTTGCACATTGGAGCACCGACAGTATGTCACACATCAATATTCGATTAACTCTTTTATCACCAGAGCCCCTTTACAGAGGGACTCCTCTTGTCTTCCTCCAGGGCGAACGCCTGTGTGGTTCCGTGCAGAGCGCTACTCGACGGAGACGAGGGCCGTACCTCCTCCGGTCGGCCCAGCGCCGGGGTGCCCGTGAGCAGAACCGCTCGGGAGGCCTTCTGGATCAGCGGCACCAGGATCTTGGTGCGTGCGGCGGTCCTGGACTTCAGGTAGTGGGACTCGTCTACAATAACGACCCTGAAGCTCTGGGCCTCTAGGGCTCCGAGCAGCAGCTTGGCGTCGGAGGTGAGGAGGCCATAGCCCAGGACGGTGACCAGGCTGGTGGGAATCCGCCTACACAGGCAGCACACAGAAAGGCAGGGGAACGTCACTGCTGTCTGAGCTGTGGGCTTGGGCTCAGTGTGCTTTCCCCATGAACGCCCCTTAACTGCAGCGAAGCCCAGCACCTTTCTCAGTGCTTAAGGCTCCTCCGCATTTTTGGATTCAAGTTACTAATTACTTTGCGAAAGTGTTCGCAGATCACAATAAAATTGTTTTGCGCGAGGAATTAAAAAACAACGCTTGCATTAATTACAGAACAATCTCTTCTCGGGGTTTGATGCTATATGTAATAATTTCCCTTTATATCACACAGCAGGAAAAACAGAGCGAGTGTTACCATAGCAGCACCCAGAATGGTGGATGTACAGTAATGCTGAGAATCCTCAGGGCGCAGTGTTCCTGCAGCAACACCAGCTTATCAATTTAGTTTAATCTAACTTTAGAAAAATAATTAACTCAACAGCATGGCACTAATTGTAACACATCAGAGGGAGCACGACCTGATCTTGAAACAGCTTCCTTGATTTTCTGTAGCATACTGTACCTGACAAACCTTTGAGTATCTGTGTTTTTTCAAGCACTATATTGAATTCCCAGCTCTGAAATCCGTTTTTCGTACAGCATGGCAGTTTGGCAATCCTTCAAGCCACTGAAGGGTTGACAACAGGAATACCTGCCCTGGCACTTTTTTATTTCTATTTGCTTTGCTTGTGCATTAATTACGGGAGCACATTTTTCACAAAACATCAAAACCAATTTCTCCCGCAGCAGGGCAAACACTCCAACAAAGTGCTCAGGGGAAAACGTTCGTAATTCATTTACTGCCACTCTACCTTCACACCTGTTTTTAACTAATGAGACAAAAAATGCAATAATGCTGTAAAGTTTCATAAAAATCTTTCAGGATGTTAATTCAAGAGTCCCTAAAGGCAGTGTAAACATTTCTTTCTGATACAATTTATATTATCTCTGCACATCTTCTCAATCCAGAGGTATTTTTCATTCGGGGATCTTATTTATCCAAAGAGCCAAGAGGAACTGAATATAGTGTGTGTGTGTGTGTGAACCTGCAGCTAACTTGTGGAAAGTTACTCATGCAAAACCAGGCGCTTGGTAAAGAGCACGGACATCACCAGACAATCCCAAACCCATGGTTCTTTCACACGTGCAGCCTGGTGAAGGGCTGTGGAGCAGGGAGAGCCAGGAGGAGGACATGAAAGGTCTTCTCCTCCCCCATCCAGGCGCAGAACCAGGGCCCGCTCTCCTTCAATGAGTCCTCCGTTAAAGGGCGTTGTTTTTTATATACGACAACACTTACTTTTAGCACCGTACTCTCAAGCACAGACTCAAATTAAAACTGGCAATCGGAGTCAGGTACTCTGCGATGCGATTCATCACAGCAACGTGTGGGTGCAAGGGGACGCTCACGATGCAGCGCTCTCACCCAACGTCCGTTTTGCTCTCCACCAGATTGATGTCATCGGGGTTCAACTCGGGGATCCACTTCTCCATCTCCTCCACCCAGGGGTACCTCATCGACGAGGGGACCACGACGAGCAGGGGCCACTCCTGCTTGTACAGCAGGGCCACGGAGATCGCCTGGATCGTCTTCCCCAGACCCATCTAGCGCGCCAGTGCAAAGACATGCGGAGCATGAAAAGGCATCGCCCAGAGGCGAAAAGCACTGGACTTTAAAACGAAAACAGTCCAGTACAATTCTTTTACATTGCACTTACATTCTGGAAACAAGGACAAATCAGTAGTTCACCTCCTGTAGCTGCAGTAAATAGCAGACTTCATTAGTTAGAAAATGTCTAAAGAAAGGATTTCCATTTCTACACCATGATGTTTCACTATTTCACGTTAGGATTAATTGTGGTGGAACAGATTATTCGCCATACGGCTGTAGACACCTGTCCCACACCTGAACTCCCTACATTAGAGAAACAACCGATAATGAAGGATGAATAATATGACATATTCAGAACAGTCACAAGTTATTATGGAGAATTCTTACCTCATCAGCTATCATACACCTGAAAGAGATGGAGAAAGAAGAAAAATGATGATTCTAGGAACTGGGGCTGTGTCAAAGGAAAGCAGGAGAGCGCTGGCCTTACATTTGCTGCAATTTTTCAATTTAATCAAGATGGGGAAAAAAACGTCCACGTGAGTTTCCTTTCTTTATACAATGAGAACAGAAACAGCCACCATTTATCATAAGAGCTTCATCGGGATGTCAAAACAATATTACCTTATTTATCTCTCGGAGTCTTTCTGGACAGTGTAACCCTGAGCTGCTGAGCACAGCAGGTAGCAGAAGAGCTATCTTTCTCACATCCTCTTTCACTGACCTGCAGTTTCACAGCAAAATATTCCTAATGCACAAATGGGGGCTTTGGACATTCGGGATTTCTCCTATCCGTGAGCAACGTCCGTGTTTGTCAGAGGGCAGGGAGCACTGTCAAGAGACACTCCATTATTGTCTTGCAGGACTGCCAGGAAACGCAGAATAAAAATGTCACCTCGCCTTCGGACTTCATCTGAGGCATTTCAAGCCGTTCATCAACAGCGACCTGCGTTACTCTTTGTTTAAGCAGCAGGCTTTGGGAAAGGCACAGTGAAAAGCAAACTGGGGTCATTTTCCCTAAAGGACCCAAATGGCTATTTCCACACAGGGAGGGTGTATCACTAACAGATGAGTAAATCTATTCCATGATCACGATCAATTAGAAGCTAAGGAAATAGGGACCGAGTTCTCATACATTGGAAGGTTTTGTTACTCGGCAAAGGATGTTTTAAGATTAAAAAAAAAGACAATACCCCCAAAGTAAATGAGCCCAGCACCCAAAATACTGATTTTAGGAAGCGCAAGCAGCACAGCTCTCTCCCGAATAAAGGGCGGCTCTTCTATTATCAGCTAACTGGGGGCTGCGAGTCGCAGAAGAACTGGATTGTCACATGTGTCACACATGCAGCAGCGTTTCAGGCGTCACACTGTACTTCATTAACGAAAACAGCCCGGAACAGATGCTCTTTACATAACTAGCGAGTTCAATCACGGGGAATCAGGTACAGGGAACAGCGTGGAGGAAAGTTGATACAGCGTCCCCCCCAGTTTCATAAACCTTATTTCCTGAACACTGTAAAATGCTGTATGACTCATTCTTTGATACTTCCTTGTGTGGTACTCCATGTATCCGCAAAGAAAAGCTTCAGCACATCAAGAAGGGGAGCCATCATCCTTCTCAGCTCTATAGTTAATTAAACATGAGCACCACCAGTCTCTTACCTACGGATTCCGCTTTATTAACGACTGCGGCTCCCTGCTGAAAAGAACCGCGGCTCCCGTTTGATCTGGTGCATTTCTGCTCCGTAATTTGTCTAACGATAAACGCTTTGCAACTTTTTCAGCATGTTCCAGCCCTCACCCAATAAAATCAATATAAGCTGGCGGAGGAGTATCAGATTGAAGAAAAGATTTTAAAGGGATGTTTATCTCTGCCCTTACAGAACGACCGCGAATAAAAATAAACCGCCTGTCGATGTGCCTCGTTGGGGGCGATTAATTGGCGTTGCATGCGTGTGTGTACAGTATGCGCATGGATTGTAAAAAAGAGAAAAAAACCTGAATGAAATTGTTAAAACATCTTCTCATTAAGCTGATGGTGAGTGAGAAAACCATTTCATTTAGGCTGCATCACAAGAGCATTAATGACATTTTAGGCCAAACACCCCTCAGAGACACCAGCTCTTCAACCATTCAGCCCTTATTTTCCAGATAAGCCTGGATTTCTTCACCTAACCAATGAGGCTTCCTGCGCAGAGCAAAGATAACATTTCACAGCTTCAACTGTGTGCCAAAACGCAACAGATTCAGTTTCTGAAAAGCTAACTCACTCTTATTTTTCCAGTCACATTTCAGCTTTTCATTTAGAATTGCAAATTATAAGAGAAACTGTCTACCATAATGATTCTGGTAATGCAGGCAATTAAAAAATTGTTTTGCGTCAGCAAATAGGAGTCTTCAAAGTACGCTAAAGTGCTCTTCAGAGAAACTGTTCTCATTACTTTTTCAGTAAGCTTACAGATCTTTTTATTTACTGAAGCTGCAAAGGAAAATTGGGACATTTAACTGGTAAATATAGAAAGCAGCTGATGACAGTTACATATCACTTTCATCTTAAACATATAAGATTACCCTCTGCATACTGGATTTAGCCGTCTCTTGTAAATTCCACAACACCTCAATGCAAAAATAATAAACACTGATGGAAGATTTTTTCTCTCTATTTTGGCACTTTGAAAATTCGTCTAGTTGCAACTCCCAAATCACAGCTGACAGGTTTATTTTTTCTGTGCCCTGGGTCATAACCTTGATCCATTTTTCAGAGAATTTTCATTCAGTTGAAACAAAAAAAAAAGCTGCCTTATTTATCCCACCCAATAAGGAGCTGCGCTGTTTCGATGGCCCAGGAAGAAAGCTTTGGAGAGCTTACAGCTCTACCTCTCCGCCTAATTTGAAGGCCTTGATTAATGTCCTCTCTGACACTTTCTTTTTTTTTTAATTGCTTGTACACCCATTCATCTAAAGTACTCTAGACACAAGCAAGCAAAACCTCATTTTAGCACTGCGATCCTCCTGTGCATTAATCATTCCTTTTTATATAACTAGGTGCGCCAGCAGACTAGTGCCTTCCCAGCTGCTCTATCTGTGTTGCTAAACAACAGCATGCTATCTTTAAAAACCATTGAGAGACCCAGAAGAGATGACTGGAAACGTATGTGCAGCGCTATCTCCTGACAACAAGGAGCAATGTGATGCTTAAAGCTGCCATTTTCCACATGCTCCTGACTGAGCTGGCCCAGCAGTACAACCCCGCTCAATTGCTTCTGCTTTGTTCTCTTGATCCTCTCCTGTATTGTGCACATACTTCCGGCTTCCTTCAGAGACCGATGATAAAAACCTCCAGGTTGACTCATGCTCAGCTTCCCCACGCAGCTTCTTCTGCTGCTGCTCCTTACAGGACTGCAGGAAATGGAAATGTTCTCAGCTGACCTCTGTCAGGCTGGGAGGAAAGGCCACATCTGGCATTAGAGGAAAGCATAGACTGTCTCAAGGAAAGACACAAAACAATAAAGACAAATACTGATGACCATGGCAAGATCAAAACGTTGACCCACATTTCAGGCACTGGTTCCTGATTTGCCCAATTTTGTTGCGGCTCTCTGTTTAACAGGCTACTTGCATCTACACAGGGAAAAACTGACCTTAAATATGAGGTTTGGAATTTGCCATAGGTCAACTGGTGAATTTAATCCACATTACTGTTTACAGTGTAGAATTGTTCGGAACAAGTCTCATTTTCTAAGAATCGGATGGTGATCAAATACTTGCACAAACATAACAGAATTCATTTAGGAGGATTCACTTTTATTATTCTTCAGCTATTTTAAAATGAATTTAGTATTTTATAGGTTTATTTCCACTATCGCATACCACTTTTCCACCCCATTTCACACTTCCTTTATGTTCACTCCAGCTGGAATCTTTTAAAACTTAGCATCCTCAAGACCACATTTTTTTAAGAACACAAGGGAGAGAAGAGGTTATTCAGTCTGTTTGTTAGTTAATAGCTAATTGACCCAAGGATCTCTCCGAGCCGTTTCTTGAAAGAAACCAGGGTATCGGCTTCAACAACATGGCTATATAGCTTGTTCCACACCCCTACAACCCTTTTTGTAAAGGGTTCCTTCTGTCCGTGGGTTTAAATGCCCTTCCACATAGTTTCACTTGTGTCATCGTATTTCTCTATATATTCTGAAGAAATCTGCTGGGTCTACTTTGCCAGGACCTTTGAGGATTTTAAAGACTTGTATCGGGTTCCCTCCAAAATATCCTTATTCAAGTCTAAGAAGGATTAGTTTTTTCAGTCTGTCAGTGCAGGGCATTCCCTTAAGATCTAGAATATATCTAGCTGCTTTTCTCATTACTCATTCCAGAGCAGCAATGGCTTTTCTTCTGTCACATGGTCCCCACAATATGTTCACATTATTTTCATTTTTTTAAAAACAAGTAACAGTTTACAAGTTTTGTCCATGATGTTCCCACTATCTATCTATTAAATAGCACGAATCTTTTAAATCTATTTGAGAATAAAACACATACAGTCCTAATAATCATGCACACCAACTGAAGACTTTAACCAAATGAAACCTCAAGCTGAGATTAGCGGTGGAGGAGGGCGATGGGTTAAATTCTGGTACCAGCACAACAGTAGCTAAAAGAGACACAGGCCTTTTCTTTTCTATAATGGCCTTTACAGACAGACCCAGGGGAAGATTATTGGATCTCTCAAAAATCGATGCCTCAAAATATCTAAAAGCACTTGTGCTCCTACAGTATGCAGGTGAATCATGGGAGGAACACTACAGCAAATGTCATATCCAAGCCCAGTCCAGACTTTATCAACGGAAGCTGAGACACACAAAGAATCAGATGAAATCATGCTGTGATTTTTATCTGGTGAAATAAAAAGCCTCCAAGCTCGGAAGCAGACAGCGGAGGAGCTGGTACTGGCCTGTCCACCAGCGAGGTTTCACACCAGCTTAGGCTCAGGGGACAAAAAAACCCCACTCAATGTCACAGCACGGCCTCTAAACTTGTACAGTATGTGCACAAGGAGACATCCGGGTCATTAAGAAGAAGCACTGTCATTACAAACAGGCACATATTTGAGCCTGGATAACAAGCGCACGCCTAAATATTCTCCCAGTATTACCCGAGGTGATTCGGGAACATGACAAGTAGCACCGCTGATATCCTATCCCGTTCTCCAGCGAATGCAGACCACGAGGGCAGGAATTTTCCGCCTACAGCAGGGTGAAGGAGAATATTGTGTAAGCCCACTGCCAGTGTAGGTGTCCCAGTGTTCTGTGCGTGCTTACCCACTGGTGTGAGTCAGTGTGCTGCTGCACAATGTGCCTCCTCTCCACCCACTCAGAAACACATCATCCGCCCGACTGCAAGATTAGCATTTTTCACTCCTTCTTATTAATGGAGGGGGAGGGGGGGGGAGGGTAAGCTCACAAATATATATTTTCCCCAATCAGTCTTGCAAGCAAATGTGGAAATGGAGCTGTTTTATAATGGGTTTTTATATTTCTAAGTTAAGCCCCTTAAATAGTTCTTTATGCTAAAAGTGTTGTCATGCCACTAAAAATCAGGAATGTAGAAAGCCGACATGAATTATTGTCATTATTCCTGCTATGCATTTCGAATTATGATGAAATATAAATAATATAACAACATATGCAGAACTGTGCATATCAGCAAAAACACCCACATAAAGCCCAAACCACCCACACAAATGTCATTTTCACATGTTTCCCATTTGAGGAATTACCAAAAATCCTCTTCTAAAAAAAAATATCAAAATTCATACTTGCCAAAACCTCCACATTTCATCTAGGAGCCAGAGTTTTATCCCTGAATATTGAGCTTTTCTTACTTAATAAACTTTTGAGACATGTTTCCAGGACACCAGTTTCATTAATAACTTGCCAAAAAAACAACATAAAGTTTACACAGTTCAGGTGAGACACCCAAATCAGATGGATGAGAGTAAGGCTACTGTCTTTCTTTCGGTTTTACCGATTCCTAATTATCCCAGATTTTTTCACTTACTCTGCACACTTTGCAGGTGGGTCAAAACTAAAAATGTATAGAGCTGCCCGTGGTGATAGATGGCACTAAAAAAGCCATCAACAGCTCAATAAATACGCATTTCCAGGGCCTCTGTCCAGCAAATAATGCTGTAAAACCCACCAGAAGGGGTTTAACTTCAAAGCACGTTCACTGGGAGGCAGACTGTTCCATTAAGCTGGATGAAGCCACGCTGAATGAAAGCAGACTTTCCCAGCTCCCCAATTTCACAAAACGATGTGTAAAGGCAGACATCATCCCGGGAGGTTTCAGAATCAATTTGCAAATAAATCGCGGAGGCTGGGAAGAGCAGGCGGAGGCGAGGGCCTGTACAGTAGCTTCGGCACAGCCGACACGTTACCGGCTCCCGTGATGGACGGCTCTCAAGATTTTAATATCAGGATGTCAGTTACAACTGCCTAACTGGAGAAAGACTCGCCGAAATTAGCACCAGCATGAAGAATTGGGGGTTTAATTGGGCAAAATAATAATGCATTTTAGAGATTCCGACGGCTGAAAACCCTCCCAGCACCTTTCCTACTATACTGAAGTTCGGGACACCGGGAGGACTTAAGCCTGTGATTAATCTGCCCTTGTCCTCTCGCCTAGACAGACAGGCTCTTATCTGGCAATCAGCGCGCAGAGGGAGGTTACACTTGAACCCTGGTCTAGAACATTTATCTGCTAGCTGCTTACTGAGCCGAGGAGGCCGGGCTACCGCCTTCAGCATGACTTGTTCCACACTCCCACACACCTTTATGTAAAGAAATGCCTCCTGCCTTCAGTTTTAAATTCACTCTCCCGTAGTTTCCTTGTGTGCCCTCAGATTCATGTTTCAAAGATAAAAAGACTGAAAACGTACACTGGGCTTACTTTATCATCTGATGGCTGATGGCTCTGAATAGATCAGAAAAAAAAACATACACTTCTTTCATTTTGTCAGAGTAAGACATTCCTTTAAGCCAGGAAACATAGCCAGTTGCTCTTCTTAGGATTTTCCAGACCAACAACATATTTTGTAATGTGTAAACCAACATTGTACACACTGTTCTAAATGACATCGTACCAGTCTAAGGTACAAACATCCCTTTTAAATTCTTCACTTTTAGCTTTATTAGCCTCTTATTTCCAATGCTTTTATGCTTCTCCACATTGTCTACAACATGAACATGACATATCAATGTAAGCCACTTAAATCATGACACTGATTTCATGACTGAAGCATCTTCAGTCACAGTGTTATTTATGTTATATATATAGTTTGTCTGCTACCTTCATGTAATGCTCCGGACTGTTCTACATTAAATGTCTTGTGAATAGTTCTTGCCCACTCGTGAAGATGGAGAATCTTTTTGAATTTTTTACAGTTTTATCTTTGTCTGAAAAGCAAACCATGACCAGATCTAGATGACTGGTAGAAACTGAGAAGACCAGTGATCCCAGTACAGATCCGACTGTTACTCCACTGCTTCCATCACTGCAGTTTGAGTATTCAGCTCTTCGAGGGCAGCTGTGTCAGTGCCAGGGCTGAAGAGGAACAGGCAGAAGTTAATTCTATGCTAAAAAGTAGAAATAAAGAAAAACAGCCTTTTAGCTGCAGTCCCTTAAAGAAGGCTCCTCAGCCAAAACACTGTTTCTTCTTTTTTTCCAGAACAGAATTAACCTCTGCTTGCTCAGGCACCCATGTACTGTAGTTCTAAAACATGCATGACGTGAATCTCTACCCATGTCTACCAGGTGCTGCTTGCAAATGTCATTTTACAATTAATGTTTATGAGGAGATATCCAAAGCCCTCTGAAAAAGTTATTTTGTGATATTTACAAATGTCTTTATTACCATTTCCACCACCGAGCTAAAAATATACGTCTTCCGCTGTTCTGGTTTGGTGTACAGAACTGTAATGAGTCATAACCGCTTAAATTATTAAATTAAAATCAAAGAAATAAGGAAAAAAAACTTCAGAGCTTTATTGGTGTGTTTTCAAAAGAAAAAAGTAAAAGTTTTTAAAATACTTCTTTAACGCAAAACTTTGTAACACATTCTGAAGAAAGCCTGTTATAAAATACAGCTTCTACATTTTTATCTTCAACTGCAGTGTGAAGAACATCTTGCTATCAGTCAAGACATAATGCGAGTGCTGAAAAAAGAAGCAGTATAGCCAATATATATGCACGCGAAGGGAACTATTTCAAGATTATGCAAATTCACAAATCTAGTTATGGTATGTAGTGTGTGTTTTGATGAAAAGACGTTCCAATAACAAGATAACAACATTTTGCCAAAACCATCTCTTTCGGTACTTTGACACATCTTCATCATGGCTCATCCATGGAAAAGTCCTTGATCAGATAAACAATCAACAATCAACCAAGTGCAATAAGATTTAAAAAAAGCAGTTTGACAAAACTATTATGCCTTGTAAATAATTACAAAGCACAGACAGGATGTCACAGCTGAGCAATTATTGTTCTAATCACTGCATTCAAAACAGCCTACATTGAAGATCAGTTCGTGGATTCACATGTTTCAGGAGCCTTTAGAAATACGAAAACAAAAAAAGTTGCCTTTGCTTTTAACTACTATCAATACACAAGGCTTTCCAATCTTTTTTTACAAACTGAAACAATTTACATTTCACAATGTCACATTCAAGTGCCCTACTTTTCCTCCTGTCCTAGGGATGTTTTAATGAATACAGCCGTTGCAGCTTGAGAATGTTCTGAAGCAAGGCATTTTTAAAGCTTCAGTACATCAAAACAGAACAGATCACTTTCACTGGCAAACGCTTTTCCTATAACTGGCATTTTAGAAATTTGCCATCTGTGGCAAATAACTGCCACCAGAAATGTACATGAAATTAATACATTTGCATTACTAAAATAGCCATTCACTGCCACTATCAAACATTTAGACAGTTTCAAGCCATGACAATCTTCTACATTCAGAAACAGTCTGTTGCCTTTCTTTATAAGCCTCTGCCTACACATTCTAACAGTACCAAACATAGCTCCTTTGCTATATCTGCTCAAAGGTCCTCATGACTGTCACAGACTTCCCACACAGCAGTTACATAAAAATAACATAAGGCGTCAGCTCAAACATCTCTTCACACAAGTGTGCGTCAATACCGCTGCTCTTCCAAAGGCATTCGACAATAGAACTGAGCTCCATTCTGACCCAGGCAGCACAGCATCGGCTGCAGTAAAGGATAACTAGATTTTCATCGGGCGAAAGCTCCTTGTGTTTGATTTGTGAGTTCCCCGCTTCAAAGCATCCTCTCTCGTCAGTGGTGGTCATGACCCGCGTGTCAATCAAAGTAACGCGTTGTCATGGCCACCGGGGCACGAATGACTGCAGAACGCATTTCTCTTTCCTTATAAAGATGATCTCTTAGAGCCTTTCTAGGTTAACAGGTCGGTGGCAATCCTGCAGATAAAACTGAAGTTAAACAACACTTCAAGTGTGCTGTTTTGCCAGAATCGGTGTGTGCACCACCCTCACAGTTCTTATGAGAAGCGACCCGCGGGCTTTGGAAGCTGTGGAGCAGTTTCAGGGATCAGCTGGAGCCCGTTCTCTGCAGGCAGGCCCCCGAACTCAAGAGAAGTGTTTCTGGTAGGGCCAACCGGCAGTGGACACGCTGTTGAGCCACGAAAAGACAGGCCCCGTGCCGGGGATGGCGCCCTCTGGTGGCTGCAATCCACATTCAGCGACCGCCGAGTCCGACACGGGCTGATGGTAAGCTGGAGCCCATCCCGGCGGACAGTGGGGTCAAGGCAGGGCACACCTGGGACGGGAGCACAGAGCTTCCAACACAGACCCGACACTGACACCGACGCGCTTTCCTGGGGCTCTATCCAGACTTCAGGGTGCCTGGAAATAATCAGCTGGCCCAGCTCCCCGGACCTGCCCACCCTGTATCCTGGTACCGATCAGACCCTGCATCAGGACCGTGCCTGAGGCAGCACATCGCTCAGTCCGCGGCACCGGGAACGCTCCCTTCTCAAAAGCGGTCCAGAAACTTTCCCGGCCCCTTTCACCCCCGTCACCCTCAACTTGAGGACAACCGCAACAGAACCAACCTGGAAATAGTGACACGAAGCAATGGAAAAACGAGAAACAGACTAGTCCGGCAGACGCGATGTAGAGGTCTCCAGGTGAGGGTGCGGGGGTGGATCTGCTTCCGAGCGACGTCTTACCTGCCGCGCCTGGAGAGGGCGAACGTCACGCCCTCTCTCTGAAAGGGCAGCAGCCTGCCGCGCAGCCTGTCCGGAAGGGTAGCCAGCCGGCTGTCCAGCTCGCCCGAGCACAGCTGCTCCTGCCCGGCCTCCGCCATGGCGCGCTGCAACACAAGCAGCGCCGGGCCATCGTTAGCAGCGCAGACAGGCGGGGGCCCCGGCCTGCTGCAGCACCTGGCCATGACACCCCAGCGGGGGCGAGTGGACTAGACTCTCACCGCAGCAAAACATGATCGCCACATGGACGCGGAAGACACCGGCAACCGGTGCAGAAGCCCTCACTCTCCTGTACGAACGCCTGAGGCACAATAAGCAAACTTGTTTTTTTTTTTCCCCTGACAATTTATTGTTGAGTTATCTGAGTTCTCATAGTGGTTATGTAATAACATTGCTCTCATCGGGAACCCGAGCAGACGGGACCGGTGCACGGAAGACCTCCCTTCAGCCCCCTGCCCTGCAGACATGCCCCAGCTCTGGAGAGCGGCCCGCTAATGAAAGCGCCCCCTTTATCCTGGATCTTTTGAGTACAATGCCATTCATTCGACAGCCAGCAGGTTAGATTTCTTCCGAGTTCCTCTAAGCTCATAAACGAGCCTTGCTGGTATTAAAAGCTTCTTCTTTTAAAAAAAAAACTTTAAAAAACCCCCGCTGCCTATAGTCTGCTGCAGAATGTATTTTCTGTGCTCATATAGACATCCAGACGTCTGAAACGTCCTCGCACTTGGGTACAAGTTTGCATCAATCGCACCAGAGCTGTCAGGGACGTAATTTTCACAGCATTTCAGGGGAAAGACGTGCACACGAAGTCGAACTAATATATCCCAACGGGCTGACGACTACATGCTTACGCCTTTTGCCGCCTTATAAGAAAGGCACATGCATTTCTTTTTAAAAAAGCACCGCCTTACACCCTAAAGTCTGTCGTATAGTAGAGGAGAGAGTTCAGCAAGCGGTTGAACTCATGAGAGCTACTGCCCGACCAGGTGTAGGTTTTCCACCTGAACTCAGTTCAGGTCCAGCAAGCGAGTGGGCTTTTCTTAGCGACTGTTGTGAAAGCTAGACAAAACTAACCATCCCCAAAACGTACCGGCTCCTTCTTCCCACAGCTTGCCCGGTGCCTGCCCTGCGGCTCCGAGCTCAGTCACGCCGGCCAGCCCTTGACATTTCCCGCAATCTGTCGCCGCGTCCGACGTGCCTGCGTCATCACGCAAGCCTGACGCAGCCGGCCGTTCGCGGGAAAGGAGCTTCGGGAAGATGGTCCGTCTGCTTCACCCGGCGGTCACCCGGAGTCGTCGAGGTACTGTAGCTGAGCCAAGCCACTGCTGCACTTCAAATCGCCACTCACACTCGTGAACGTACGCTGGCACGCAGTGAAAGGCCCCTGAATGTGAACGTGTCATGCTTATTGACAGTATTGCCGTAGTTGCACTTGTTGATGTTGTGTGGGTGCACATAGGCACAGCGGGCAAGTCTGATTCCCCGCAATGTGAAACAGCCAGTTAATGAATTGCTATAATACCTGTAGTGTGAATGACATTCGTGCTGCTTGTAACTGAGCTGTAAACGAAGTGTTGGACAACTATAGTGAGGCGTCAAGTGATGTTCCGGGCTTTACAAAAGAGAAATCACAGTTAAGAGTTTAAATACACGCTCGGTAGTTTCCTAGGTTTGCAGAAGTGTAGGCTACCGAGTAGATGTGCCATAGCCGTGTCTGACGGCTGTGTCCCTCTCTCATCTTCCGGCATGTCGTGACGCCGGGGACCGGCAGCCCCCGGCCGGAGCAGGTGTCGGGCGCGACACGCGTGGGTCCCGGGCCGGCAAGGGCACAGGGGAGGCTGGGACCGGAGAGCTGTACGCGAAAACACCCGTGGGGGTGGGTGGGGGCGTTTCAGAAAACGCAGTTCGTGAAACCCCGGCCTTCTCGCTTCAAAAGCCGAGACACAGCACCGGGGTTGTGCTTCTGCGGTGAAGTTTGTCCTTCTGGCGTGCAGGCTGACCGAGACCGAGACCGAGACCGCAGGTACATGTGCTTCTCCATGCGTGCGCCTGAATATAGCCCCCAGTCTAAACTCGACTCCTGTCCGCCCCGTGATGGCCATATCGCCTTGGGACATTGATCTTCTTGCATCTGCACGGTGGGTCCTGGTACTTGCACATCACCTAAGCTGTGTGTGGTGGATACAGTCTACTGTACTGCGGGTCTCCCTGGATCAGGGCGTCTGCTCAGCAATTAATAATAATAATAATAGAAAATCATAGGTGGGATTGTCCATTATTTAACACTCGACGAAGGAAATAGGTTATTCGCCTAAAACAGTACAAGGGATGACACGACACGGGGCTCATATGACCCGGCTCCGCGTGTCCCCCAGCTGCTGTCCCCCTAATTGATAAAAGGCTTTTTAATTTAAACTTCTCGCCCGGGTCCCGCCTCCTTCCCGGCAGCCCGGACGGCAGTGGGCGGCCCGCCTGTCACACACACGCTGGCGGGGGCCGTGATTGGCGCGTCGGCCTCCAGCCGCCGCCGCCATTGGCCGAGGGCGCTGTCCGTCACGCCGTGCTGGCGGCCGTGGGGGGCGGGGGCTCTCTCGCTCTCCCTCGCCGTATCCACTGCCTCCCCTCGCCAAACACTCAGTGTTGCTGATACAGACTGAAATATAAGAATATAAGAATTTTTATGTGTATATATCTCACCAAAACAAACACAGAATACAGAAACCCTTACGCGCCCGGTAAGGAGACGTTTACGTTTTATTCCTGTTGTTCATGGGGTTGTGTTTGAAAGCGATTTACAAGTCATTATTTTGTCTCACTACTGTAAACCATGTAGGTCCAGTGCTGACGAAGGCCTAATTATACCAACATACTGCCTGTGCATATGCGATCCAGGCGGTAGGGAGGTATTTTGTCTTCTTGGTTGCCTGCGTTTGGACAGTTTAAGCCTGTTTGTAACGAAACGGAGCTCCCGATGGGCCCGGGTGCGAGAGGGGCACGTTGGGGGACATGGAGCTGGGAGACATGTGAAGGCCCTGCGGTCATCTCGCCTGGCGCTGTGTGATTTTTGGGTTTGGCGTGCGCGGTGCAGTCCCTGCCGGCTTGTTTTGAAACCCCCCGACGTTTGTGTGTTGTTGATTTTCTGTCTGTCTGTCTGTTCGTTTGTCTGTTTTAATCACCGCCGGGGTCGATATGTCGCCTGACACGGGGGGTGATTTGTTTCGTGCGGCTGCACAGGTGACGATCTCCAGGCACTGGAGATCCGGCTGATAGGAGGTGCTTCTTAGGCCGGGTGGGCTGTGATCGCCGAGGGTAGCAAGCAAAGGCACTGCAAGCCTGCCGTGAAGGGTATATGTGCCATTTTCGGAACAGCTCCTTGCTGCCACACCGAACTGGTGGAAGTCCAGCATCTCTGGCAAAACCTACAAGGGAGTTTAGTTCCCTTTCTGTCTAATAATTGTCCCTCAAAGGGTTAGGATATAACCAAAGATGCTGTTACTGTCACTGTCGACCCAAAGTGCCTGAGTGCCCTTTCTTACTGTCGGCAAGTGAAACAGAACCAGGTGATCCGTCCTCTGATCGGGGCTCGCTGCTGACTTCTTGAATGTGAAGCAGCTTCTAACTGCAGATGTGCAGATGCCAAAACAAGCTTCACTACCCCCGGGATTCAGCATGGTTTGCTTCTGGAGGGTGTCAGAGCCATAAGCCCTTAAGACTCATTTCGGGACTTTAGTCTCCCGGACAGATGTGATTTATTTTGGATTTTGAAGACTATTACGAAAGTAATAGTTGTTAAGAGTCAGTAGTTCAGTGTGCACAGGTGGTGTTTTTCCATGCAGAAGCCACGTTTTCAGTTTCTGTGTAGTGTTTCGGCACCCCTGGAATTGGGAGTTTCTATTGAAAATAAGAAAGGCAAAGGCTTCAGTGACATTCTGTAACCTTTTAAGCACTATGCTTCTGTTGCAAATTTGTAATTTGCTGTAGATCTTTGCTTTCTGGACAAAAGCAAAATTGCAGTTCTGCAGTACACTAATCGATAATTTCAGGATGGCTTCAAAATATTCACATCATTCCACCATAATGCAGCTGTTTTGCAACAGAATTGACAACAGAGTGGTCATCTGGAGACAGGTTGCAACATTCTGAGCAGCAGCTGGGAAACCAGCAGCGATATGCGTTCATTGACGAGATTCCGAATTTCCAGAGTGTCCGTTACAAATTCGATTAGGGAGTTCGTGTTTTGGTACAGTTGTTCTTCTTTGCAAGTTGTTATAGAAACTGTGTTCCCCCATCTCAGAATTTCCTCTTGCTGTTGCCTTTCTGTGTTCGTGGAAATGCCGGAGCGAATCAGTTTCTGGGGTGGAAAAAATAGCATGTCCTTCAAGACTGCGGTTCAGCCAACATCATGCCTGGTGCTCGGCCAGGAACTGCAAGTTACACTGCCAGGTCCTAGTTTTTCACAATTTGCCCCTTAGATATGAAAGCTGTGTGCAAAAGAAAACACCTGACCTTTTTAATCCTTTCAGTAGTCTCGCCCTGTGTGGAACCAGACCTGTGCTCTCTGCTTGTACACCCGACCATTGTGTCTTAGTGGGAGTTTCGCTTCGTTGTTCGGTGCCAAAGAATTCTCAAAAGGTTGGGCAACTCTCGTAAAATCAGATGCGTACAGTCATGTAATTTCATGTAGTTTGTACCTTTCCTGTCCCCAGTGGTGTTATGTGTACTTCACCCTTATCCTCTTGGAGAGGACATTGAAAGCCACTCGGTTTAAATGGGAGGTACTGAAGATAGAGGGGGTTCTTGTTGTTCCTTTTCATTTTTCAAGGTGTTTATGGTGCTAATTTACCAAGATACCCTTTAGAAGGAGCAGTTTCATAAATCAACCTGAATGACTGATCAACATGCCTGGGTGTTACACGTCTGAAGACTGGCAGATCTCAATAATCAGTCCGTTTTTAGCTTTACTGGGCTGTAACAATACTCATCTTCTCCTGCTGTAATCATTTGCGTGTACTGATACCAAGAAAATGTACTCCTCTTCTTCTTTGTGTTTTGATTCAGAATTGTGTCCTGTACAGATATAGATGTGCTTTTGTTTTAGAAGATAGAGTAGTGCAAATTTGTATAAAAAGTCATTGACATTGATGAAAGCTGTTCCTTTTAAGGAAATACAAAAGAGTATCCATTGCTTGCAAAATGTGTTTAAGTACTCTTCCAACTATAAATCAGTTTGGTTTTAATTCTGTTTTTAGAAGTTGTGTGTTTTAAGTTTATTGCTTTGACATCGTTTATGAAGTCAACACATAAAATACTGTAGCTTGTTAAACAAGTCACAGTTACTTTCTGATTAACTTCACTGTTCTTCATCTACCTTTTTATTATTGAAGAGCTCTACTTGATTAGTTTGGCTATCTAAGTCAGTACCAGAGACCCACCACGACCCTAATAATTGGCCTTTCCTGGTTTTCAGGTGTATTTTTGTTGATCCTTTAGTGTGTAAGTCAAGTCTTGCTTTCGGCACATAGTAGTGCTTCAGTTGTGGTGATTATGGGCTTTAATTTATTTTGTGCAGTGAAATTAGAAATTTCGAATGTCTGCAGAAGCAGTGCGGACAGTACACCTATTATTCTCTGGAAGCTCTTTTATTTCCATAATATCCTTCTCTTTGAAGAGCCTTTGTTAACATGAGGTTTCCGTCGTACTGTGAAAACCTGTGGGCTGGATTACTCTTCTTGCCTCTCGGGAAGAGATGGAGGCATTAATGCATCACGACACCCATTTGCTCAGGGGTGTTAAACCAATTTGTAAGGCCTCAGCTAAGACAAGGTGTTCAGAGAGGTAATTGCCCTCTCGGATGGAAATCTCCTCCAAACACACCCTCTTAAATTGGATGTTGATGCGATACCAGGCCCTGAAAACCTATCCACTTCTTTAAGAAAAGTCGTGGTCCTTTTTAGAGTCTTTGGCCATTCTGTGATGTTTTGAGTGCAGATTCCTCAGGCTGCCTAATCTTATTAAGGCTAATCTTACTGCAGGGCTGCCTGGCAATCGTCTCTTCTCCCGGCTTGGATCTGTCAGGGCGAATAATAATAGCATCTACAAGGTGGTACAGAAGGAATGATTCATGAGCCCCAGCTGATTCAGAGCACGACCTGTGAACATTTTCATTCTCAGAATTCACTGGCTCGCATGG